TCGCATTTGAATAAAGATAATCTAATAGATAAAATACTTAATAGATTAAGATTTATTCTATGTCCCTGGACAGATAGTTCTAAGAGAATTACAGAAGAATGATATGTGTGTGTGTGTCGTGTACAGTACACCCTGTTCAAGATTAGAAAAGGCATGATAATACACCAGTGTCTACTGTACAAAGACAGCCACATCTCTTTTTTATAAACTGCTTTATAATTTCTCACCCTGAAGCCACAATACTCTGATTATTATGAGATAATTTTAGTAAACTAACACAAATTATATAGATACTTGAAATATTAATGTAGTTATTTTATTAAGTGGTATTTCCCTTTAAATTCTACCAGGAATACCGAGCATCCCACTTCCTGTCCCACCACAACCCTGTTTCACCACATTTAATCTCAGAAACCTTAATGTGGGAAGGATCGGCATGGTTGATAAGCAACAACACATTTTCCACGTTGACATAAAAGGCCACCTGTTGGTGGCTTGTGGTTGAAGTCTCAGTCTGGAAGAAAAGCTCTAGAGAATTAAACTTTTATCCAAAACTACTGCTTTAGAATGAGTGAAAGTAAAGCGTACTGTTTGCGCAGCTCCATAAGCCGGGCGGTCAGTCCTGCTATCTCATTTACGGAGCGCAAGATGTCGTCCCTCTCCTTTGGGTCTTCACAGAGTTCTGCAATGCGTTTGGCCTCTGCTAGAAGTGCTAGGATGTTCTCCTCTCCCTCAGGACCACCGTTAGGATCAGCCAACCATGCCTGAAAAAAGCAAGAGTATCATATACGATGAAAAATATAGAAACTAATGCAAGCTTAAAAAATATAGATGAGTTAGGACAACTTTTCCTTAAAAAAAAACACAACAAAAAAATTATTTCTAGGAAGGGGTGTTTGTTTATCTGACCTGTGCAGCATCCAGCCTCCTGGAAATTGCCTGCTTGGCATTGATTAGAGCCTCCAGCCTGCGAGCAGCACTGTCCACTTTGCCAAAGAGCAGATCTAGGCCCTGTAAGCACTGGCCTGCTCGCTGAACACACCCTGGAGTCTGGCCCTGACCCCTGTCAAAATCCATAAACAGTCAACTGAAGCGTGAGCTCAAAATATACAGCTTAAACATCTCGAAGCAGGACGTTTTCCAAACACACTACCTGACACGCATATCTCCGACTTGATCAGTCATCTGCCCCAGTGCCTTGGTGGTTGCCAGTATGTCTTTCCTCTCCTTACCAGCACACAGCTCTCCCACCTTACCAGCTTCATCCAGAATGACACGCAGCGCCACTTCACCAGAGTCCCCTGAGAAGGATAGCGTGCCACAACAGAGGGTTGTTAACATGAAAGAGTCTCAGCTGAGGAGCTGTAGTTGAAACCTGTGCTACCTGGCTGTCCCTGCGGGTCTTTGAGCCAGCTCTTGGCCTGCGCCATCTTTGATTCGATCAAACCCAGACATCGCTTTAAGGCCTCCATATCCTGAAGGGGTAAAGGAAACGATTATATTAAGCTGTTATTCTATAATATAAACCAGAAGTTTGGTTTTAATGAGCACGTTCTGTATTTTTGTTAATATTACATCAATAAGTGATGTGCTTTTTCAAAATATCTTTGGGTTTAATTTGTTCATGTAGGATAAAGCATACAAAAAAAAAAAAAAAAAAAAAAAAAAAAAATATATAGCATACAAGATAATTTCAACAGCTGTTGAAAATATTTTTTAATAAAATAAAATATGGTACAGATTCTGCTTTATGATCTTACACAAATACTGTTTCAAGACCACTAAATATCAAATCATAGTGTACCTTATAGATTTTGCATTACATTAGAGTTTTTTTATAATGGTGTTCAATAATTTGCTAGACACTTTTCCTTTAGCTGTATGTAGCATAGATTACTGTGGAGCCGCCCTCCCCAACTTGGTGCTGTGCACTGCCCAATGTTTAAAGCAAAACTATATTTTTTCCCTTGTTACAAGAACAGCCAACTGAATTAAAAAGTCAGTTACTAGCGCTACCACTATGAATAATAATAACACAAACTATAGAATAAATTATAGAATGAGCTTTCCAAAAAAAGTAAAAAAAAACAATACCCAATTACCCTAACCACTGGATTTGGTTTCCAAGTTTTAAGATGTTGATGTCAGAATTAGTGTTGAGTTTGAAGCTTTATACAGTACACTTTATACACTGGCTTAGAAAACATGCAAATTGAACAAGAAGAATGGGTCCGCCAGTATATAGGCACCCGTGTTTTGATAAACAGTGCACCTGTATACTGTAATAATGAATGTAACCATTACAAAATAATTTTATCGTTGAAATGTAATAAGAAGATCTGTTTTTAATTTGAGATGCACTGATCCTATATGTGGCTTGGGTAACAGCTCCAATATTGACTAATTAGCTGGATTATTGGCCTTTTGTATCTCTGCTTCTGTCTCCTTGAAGTCCAGTTAGCCTTGGCAGATGGCCGCTCACACTGACCCTGGTTCTGCTGGAGGTTTCTTTCGTTAAAAGGGAGTATTTCCTCTCCACTGTCGCTACAAGGATGCTTGGTGTAAGGGATTTCCTTTGAGTCCATGAATAGATGAAATCAGATGGTTTTCCTTAGATAGAAAACTGAATAAATTTGAATGTATGATCTGTTTGAATTGTCACTGTAAAGAACCTTAAGATGACATTTGTTGTGAATTGGAGCTATATAAATAAAATGAATTGAATTGAATCACACATTGGAGATCCAATCCAGTGCACTTTACATAGAACTGTTATTTATATCTTTTTGCTGTTGATTGGTTAATAAATAATATACAGTACATTTATAAATGTGTTCATTTGCTAACTTTTTTTTAACAATGTTTTTGTCAAGGCTAAAGCCTTTGCTCACATGGCAAGATATATAATGTGGTTCATTCATTCAAAAGTTTAACCAGATTTGATATCAGCTGTTATGCTCAGCCCAGGTCAGTATCGGATTGGATAGGAAACAAATGGGTCGCTGCATCTCTATATTTAACAAGTAGAACTCCTAAAATCAGAAAAAATGTCAATGAATTTGCCTTTTAGGTTTTTAATGTGAGTCGGTGGTGGCCGAAGGTGGGGCTCACCTAGATACTAATTTTGACAGTTTATATGGTATAACATGATTTTGCTTGAAAATTATATCACCAACAGCTTTGTGGAAAAAATGTCCAAAAAAACTTATGATATAATAATTTGTGAAACAGTAAAAAAAAATATATTTTTTCAGTAGTTTTTAATATTTATTACAAAAGCAACAACTGACTTGATATTATCAGCTCTCTTAGCAATTAGCTTAAATCTTAATGCAGATACGTACTTTATAAGGAAATCAAGTAGAGTATAATCCTCCTCATGTATACAAAGAATCACTCTTTGACTGCTTTCTATGAGGAAGTCAAAAAGCTTTTTCCAGCTGGGAGGAGAATAAAAGGCTTGAGTGGAACGACTCAATACAGGCCATCTATTATGGATGTGTCTGGACACCAACCAGCTTATTTCTATAATTCATGATCTGGCATACAGATTGCAGTCATCGTGTGCCAGCACTTTCCCCTTGCACTCTGACAGTAAGTGCTTATCACAGCTCAAACATTGAGTATGCAGTATTTCCACACCAAACATATGACAGACAGACAGAGGGATCATTGTCTGAGGAGGCAGTATGCAGAGAAACATGCAGGGGTTACAGGTTGAACAAGTAGAACAGATCTTCCTTTTACTATTGAGGTAGCAAACCCAAACTGATGCTCTTATCATTTTTACTTTTATCACTTCTACTGTGAGCTCCATCACACAATGAGCAGCTAAAGCATATATGTGTAAACCACTGTCATCTGTTTTGTGACCATTTAACTCAAATGGACATCTATTGACAAACAGATGTTCATAGATCTATTTACTGTAGTGATGAAGCACTTTACATCACCATGTAACTTATAACTCCACACAAACAGATGAAAATTTTTTTTTGAGCAAGTGGAGAACAGATATGCAGAATGTAAGTGTGACGACACATTTTTGTGCCGGTCAAATACACGGAAACTCGCACACACCCATAAGCTTGCATGCCAGAACCACAGAGGGGGATAGAAAGAGGCTTACCTTCTATAGGGAGGAAAAGAATGAAGGAGGAAGGTAAAGAAAAAAAAAAGAAAAAGGAAAAAAGAAAAACAAGGAGTTACAGTAGCAAGCAAAAACAAAAATGAAGACAGAAAGTAAAAGAGTGATTTTTTTTTTAGAGAGGCATCTCAAGGGGTGAGAGTGTCAGAGTGTTTGAAGTATAACTTAGAGTCAGAGGTTTGTGAGTATAAAATGAAGTAAACCCTTCTGTTTACATGCCACACATACTTTACCTTGTTAGCCCAGGCATCTTCGTCCCACGTGGTGAGCTGTAAGACTCTGATGATCTCTGTGATTTCAGCGCTCATCTTTTCAAAGGTAAACCTTCTGTTCTTCTCAGCCTCTTCGATGCCGGCTCCTCGACTGGTCTTGGTTGCAACAAAAATCTTAATTGCTGAAGACAAAAATTTGAGCTGATTACAAAAGATCCATCCATCCATCCAACCATCCATCCATCCATGGCTTTCCCAGGCCAACCGAGAAACATAGTCCCTCCAGCGTATCCTGGGTCTCCCCCTGGGCCTCCTCCCGGTGGGACATGCCTGGAACACCTCACCAGGGAGACATCCAGGAGGCATCCTAACCAGATGCCCGAGCCACCTCAACTGGCTAATGTCGATGTGGAGGAGCAGCGGCTCTACTCTAAGTCCTCCCCGGATGACTGAGGTCCTCACCCTATCTCTAAGGGTGAGCCCAGACACACAACGGAGAAAACTCATTTCAGCCGCTTGTATCCGGGATCTCGTTCTTTCGATCATGACACAAAGCTCATGACCATAGATGAGGGTAGGAACGTAGATCGACCGGTAAATCGAGAGCTTTGCTTTTTGGCTCAGCTCTCTCTTCACCACAGCAGACACAACAGAGGACGCTTCACAGCAGACGCCGCACAAATCTGCCTATCGATCTCCCGCTCCATCTTCCCCTCATTTGTGAACAAGACCCCAAGATACCTAAACTCCTCCACTAGGGGCAGTACATCCTCCCCAAAAGGAGAAGGCACTCTACCCTTTTCTGGCTAAAGACCATGGTCTCCTGTTTGGAGGCACTGATTGGGGGCTTATTAATCAAGAGTTAAAATGCCTGCTAATCTTTTTCATATCTTTCTTTCAACAAACAAAGAGTTTTGCAAATGCTGCAGCAGTCTGAATGTAGCTAAGAACATAACAGCCATGGTAAAATTCCTATAGGAAAAATATTCAGAAAAAAATTTATCATCTCTGGGCATTTTCATTTTAAATTAATCATCAAATATAAGTCAGTGCTGAATATTTATTGTAATATTTATTCTTCTTGGAGAAAATAAATGCTCAAAATCTAAAATACAAAAGTATAACTCAGCTGTTATATAAAGGTTATGTTTTTTCAGCTCCTCCCAAAAAATATAAATTAAAGAAAAATGCATGCAAAATGTGAGAAAACGATATCAGTTCCTTGTTTAATATAGTACAGACAAGAATTTAAAACTACCATACTTTCACCAGTTGGTTCTGTAAAAGCAGAAATGAACAATACTGCTGGACTGGACAAAAATCACTAAAAGACAAACATATTTAGGAGATAATGAAATCTCAAGGCAACTTTGCGATTTCTTTATATAATATAAAAACAATTATTGTTGCTTATATCTCATTGTACATCATTCTATATTTCAAAATTCTACAGCAGAAGCTGAAGTCACTCCTTTTCCTCAATATATACAGTATAACAAACCATAGCTGTATAGTGGGCGATGCTTCCTCACCCTCACAAGCACCTAATGACTGTAATTACCAGTGTTACCATGACAACCGCGGGATGCTCAGCAAACTGCATCGTCGTTTGCCCACATAAGTTCACCCGTATGTACCTGAGATGAGAACCGGCAGCAGCTCCTTAATGGTGTTCATGGAGCTGACCAGCATCTGCCGGTGTTCTTGGTGGGTGAGCTCCTGCTGCCGCTCCTCAATCATCTTTGACATCTTCGTCATACCTGGTGAAACACAAAAAAAACCCCACAAAAAAACAGTTGGTTGCAGGCAAATGTTTTTTTTTTTACTTTGGATTTGACCCGCCTGATAAACTGATTAACTGGCACATTCAAGCATTGCTCCTTCATGAACCACTGAGCTCGGACAATGTCTGATCCAGTGGAGTGTGAGGACGCCTTTGGCATCACTGTTCTTCCAGCTTATTAAGTCAGAAATTATGGAAATATAATTAACCGGAGGCCTCTGATGATAAATGGTCTGTTATGATCCTCCTGCCAGTGAAACGACTCACTAACAGTATCTTGATGCCAGAGGAGACGGTGGTTAATTAGTTTTTTTTTTTTTTATATTAACAGATGGAGCTATGACCCAAACAAAAAGTAAAGGTTAATTATTTCATTTGGATGCTCTTATGAAACACTTTAATTACATTCAACCCCATCATGTATCGTTAAGAATAGCAGCAATGTTCTTAATGCACCCGTTTAATACATGGACTTCTGGTAAATTAAATAGTAATTTTCCATGGTAAATTATTCTTTTTAAACAACCTAATTTTCCAAGACTTAAAATTTATAATCAGATAAAATTAAGATGCAAGACAATTTCTTTGCTTTTCTCTCAAAAATGATATTTAATAAATGTTTTACCTGAATATAATGTATGTGAATGTGAATGTATTCAACGGCCCTGAACGTTTGTTTTCAAAGGTTGTAATTTTATGTTAAGGACCAACAGAGAGCAGTGACAATGTTTTACTTTTAGATTAAAGATGGATGATTTAAATTTTTTTCCTTTCAAATGATAATGAATGATGAGGCTTGTATATGTTGACTCTGGAGTATTTTAAATCCACCTATTGTTGCAGTTTTATCTGTTGGCTTTTTCCCACCAGCTTTCCTCATGTCAAAGGAGACTTTTAGCAAGTCTTATTATGGCTTTCTTTATATAAGGGGTTTTCTTTCTGAAACTCTTTAATAAAGAAAGAATATAAGGAGAGCACAAATAACAGACGTGTTGACAGATTCCCTCTTAATCTCTGCTGCTCCTTTCAGAGCTATTTCTCTGATTACCGCTCTCTTCACTTGGCCTCATAGTTCAGGTGGACAGCCATGTCTTAGAAGGTTTGTAGTACAATTGTTTTTATTTATTTTGTTTTGCTTTCAGGGGGATTAAATTAAATATAATGTATGCCACACTTTTCTGTTTTTATATATTTAATTTTTGCAGCTTAAGGGGAAATGAAAATTGCTTAGTTGAATTAAATTTAAATGAAAAACTGTGAGAAAAAGGTTTATGTGGTATTAACATGTTTGTCACAAAGAAGTTTTTTTTCTGTTATTTTTATTTGGGTTAGCCACACTGCAAAAGAGATTTGTTTTTTTCTTTAAAGGATGTTATTTTACTGACCTGGTCCAAGATTTTTTGTGTAAGTAATGAGGTCTTCCATGGTCTCCACCACTTCAGCTACTGACAGATACTCAAGGATACCTTTACACACTCGGATTATCTTACGCACCTGCAAAGAAACAACGTCATAACCTGAGATAGTTTAAAGAACAAATTAATAAGTGCTTTCTTTCATAAGCAGAACAGCTACATTCATTCTGTAAACTTTTTTAGCCCCTTGTTGTTTCTGTGGGGCTTTTGTGTGTGCGCCTGCAGTCTTGTGATATTCATCTTGTGACTGAGAAAAAACTGCTCCTCCGAAAATGAGGCTGGTGATGAGACTTGGTGATCTTAATCACGTGCCCAATGTGATTTCACTTATGGAGCTTCCATCAAAACTTCATGCAGACACACAGATGGCCACACACAGACATACACATACTGACATCCTGAGTTATAGAGGTCATTTGATCTCTGTGATTAGATCTAGCTGCATTTGAGCCGCCATTACAGCCCCAATAGTTCTTCCTTCCTCTGTACGAGTGCTAAATAAAGCTTTACTGTAATTCCCTGAAAGAGACCAAACCATGGTCTGCGGAGATGATGAGTAATATAGACACTAATGCACACTTGTGTAATAAGTAAATACACACCTCTGCTTCATCAAAAGTAAGAAGAAGGTCCGATGTTCCAGACAGTATCCCCCTGGATCCATCAATCAAGTAATCCCTCGCAGGAACCGAGTATGGATCTGCTTTAAGCATCTGAGCTGCCTGTACGAGCTTGGAAGATGAGTTCTCCACCCTGAAAACAACCAGATGTCTTAGGAAATCTTTTTAAAGCATCGACAAGTACATCAAGTTTGAAAATATGATATTTCATTTTTTATATCTACATATTGAGAAACAAAACAAAAACAACAAAAAAAAGTATAATAGTAATACATTAAAATTCTCTGTTTCCTTAAGGGTGCCTCTTCATTTTTTAAACAGACTTTTAAGAAATGAGGATAGCTTTTTGAGTCACAACCTCAAAACCTGATGTACACCAACATAATTGTTCTGAAATGAGGTAATGAGGTATTATTGACAAAACCAAAACCTAAAATACAAAACCCCCACTTTTTTAACCAGGATATATTAAACTGATATTGGGCCTTTTTTTTTTTTTTAAGAGATAAAGGAGATGGATGAGTATATTTTAAACAGTTTTTATTTGGGTAGAAAATGTTAGTGAGCTCAATGGATGTAAACACAGGGAAGGAGGAGGAGTTCCTATCACCCACTAACAGTAAAACTGTTTGTTGTGAAACACCTGGGGCTTGGATTTAAATGAGAGAAGGACCCAAAGCTGATCGAAGATTATATAGCACACCAATGCGCAGTGCAACAATTACCGGTAGATAAAAAAAAAAAAAGGAAATAAAAACACAGCAACAACAGACAGCTTGAGCAGGAAGTCGACAGCCAGACCACAAAAAAAGCATTGTTAGTGAGCATAAAGTTTGTCAAGCAGAATAATGCTTTTCAATTGCAAAATAAATTTTTTTCAGTTTCTGAGCAAAATGAAGGAAGGTGTTTTTGGCTGCATCTGATGTAATATAATATTGTAACAGGCTGATTGTGTAGGAAAAAATTAAGACTGAAACAAGGTTCTATAAACATGGTTTAAAAAACATTCTTTATGCGTAACATACTTAAGAGTGTTTCTGCTCTGAGCCTAACCTAATGGCAGACTTAGGCTAAAAGCAAGATATGACAACAACTTCACATTGTCTACAGCTTCGAATGCGGTATTGATTTTTAAACATGATTTTTTTTTTATACATATTTCCTCAATCTGTGATTGACCCACAGGGGATGGATTTTATGAGGATTCAAATAAATCTAAATCCCCCCTCATTCATATCCCATTGGTCAGGGTATCAATGGCCGATGGCTCATCTATATTTAGGCGGGTTCACATTCCCACATGCTCCTGCTCCTAAGCTCCACACATGAGATTTATGGTGTTGTAGTCCATGTGTGCATGAGAGAGGAGCAACAAGATTGACCTGTTGGAGATCTGGATCATTTCTGTGATCCTGCAATACTTTAAAATTGACAAACAAGTATTAATGTAAAATAAAGATTGGGTGAAAAAAAATATTAAAGTGTGTAAAGCAGGAATGTACCAAGATTTTTAAGAATCAGCTTGTATCCGAAATAGGAAATACAGCACTATCAGTGTCCTGTGTTTTTATAAAACGAACAAGAAAAAACACCAATCTTTTAAAGTACTGTATGCTTGGTAAAATAGATAAATGAAATTTTCTTTTTTTAATTTTCTAAGTTTAAAGTTCCACAAATGTAAAGAAATTTGCAGGAGCATAATTCAGTTTTATACTGCCCCTTTTCCCCAAACCTTGCATGTCTTCTGTGTATTTTAAGGATGGTGAAAGCAGCATGTTGTTTGCACATTTGACGGCTTGTATCTTTTTATACACAGACACCATTCACTCTGTCAGTGAATGTTGTATCTCAGTGTTTAAAACTATAAAGACACACAAAAAAAGAACTGTCACCAACTTGAATTTCTGCTTAATGGCTTGCAACTAAGCACAGTTGTCAGCATAATTGGATCTTCTGAATTTCAGGCTGGTGACAGTTTAATTAATTTTGAAACCATTTCCTGACCCCATACTCAGAGTTTAGAGGCAAACAAGAGTCTACAAGCCCATTTGGTCCACTGTGGCCTATTCCGCTTTATAATGGAAGTTTTCCACAGAACATTTAGTGTCTGTTTCATGCAAATAACAGAATCCTTGAACAACCCATCCTTTGAACTATTGAGAAGCACATTATGAGTAGGGACATATACAGAAAGAAACAAGCAAACACTGATTCCCAGAAGTGCTTAGCGGGGGCTCTGAGCACAGCAAACTTATGTTTCAGTTCTTTGGATGTGAATTGGAAAACAGCTAAAAGCCTCTCAGTGGTCTGGATGCTGGGGCCAAACGAGTACCAAGGCTTGGTCTCAGAAGTGGCTCTTTGTTGTAGCTGGGAACAGAGCCAGGTTTCCTAAAATCCATGGAATCCTGTTTTTAACAAGTTCTCTGGGTGTCAAGATAAAGTGCATCATTTCCAAAAAATTTTCCCCGTCAGACAGAGATACAGAAGCAGTTATTTATTTTTCCAAAACATGCACACTGGTTAAGTGATGAGCTTACTTAATAAAAGCAGGAGGCATGTCTCTCTTCATCACCTGGTCCTCTGTGGTTTGAACCGTTTCCTTCCCCACCTGCAACATATACAGACCTATTCCATTATCATTAGTTACAGCAAGACAGGAAATGTTTTTAAAGGGCACTATTAATAGACTGAAAGGGTGAATGAGTGTGTATCAATTCACACCTATTCCAACCATGCATGCATGTCATTTCTCATGAGCTGGGCAGAGCAGCTTGGGCTCTCATTCATTTTATGCCGTTTGATACTCTGCATGCAGATAGGAAATGTATTTAAGTCAAGCTGCAGATTTTTTAGAGTTTTCAAGTATTAGTAACTTTACAAATACTAGGGCATATCATCACATAAGCAACTGTATTAGCATTGAATGAGTTGGAAAAAATACATTTGATTCAGTTTTATTCCAGTCAATGAATATTGTAATGCACCAAAGAGAAAACGTCATTAGATGCTTATTCTTCAGGCATTCAAAGCAGGAAAACGACACCATTCACACACAAGCATGTCTAACCTTAAGCAGACAAGGAAGCAATTTGCAGAGCATTTCCATGTAACTGCATAATCACAGCCTAAATTATTCTAAACCTCATACTTAGCCCTAAAAAACCCAAAGAAATGTGTGTGTTCCAGCATTTTGGTCTCGACTGACATTCTCTCAACCAACTACTTTAGAGCCCTTAAAAACAAAACACAACAAGGTCTCCCTCTCTAAAACACAGATGTACACAAGCAATCACACATTTCAGATGCAATTACAGCAAAATGATGACATCAGTTTCTTGCTGCTGCTTCAGTGAAATAGGCTTTCTGGCTCCACAGATTCAGGATACAGCAAACTGGCTGTGGTATCATATAAGGTTTGGGATTTTCCTATTTCGACAACAGACATTTTTCTCAGACATGATTTACTGTTTTTTTTGAAGCAATATATATATATATACATATATATATATATATGAAAATATATCTCGACAATAGTTGGTTAGTTGGAGAAATTTCAAATTTGATCCAATTTCACCTTCATGTGTTCTCTCAGATTGAATAGTATACCTACATCTAATCTATTGTTATGTTTGTTCACATTACATCAAACAAATGTGTTTTTATTGCAATCGTATGTAATATAACAAAGCAAGGTTGAACATAACTGTAATATGGGGGGGGGGGGTAAAATAAGATAAATTAAACCTTGCTGTGCATTTGTTTTTAAGCCTCAAGTCGCTGTCCAGTAGCAATTACAGCTATTAGTCTTTTGTGCTATATCTTTAGCAGCTTCACCGGTTTACTAAAACTTTGATCGTTCTTTTTTGGAAAATAGTTCAAGCTCAGTCAGGTTGAATAGAGAACTGCCAAAGATTGGCATATATTCCCCAATTGATCCTGGGCCTGGTTAACCAAATGATCTCATTGTAGTTCTGGCTGATTGCTTAGGGTTGCTGTCGAGCTGGAATTACAGACTCAAGTCTTTTGGAGAATATAAACGCTCACATGATCACCCTGATAAACTAGCTCAATGTATTTGTCAATCAGCTCTGACCACCTTAATTTTCTTGTGAATGAAAAAAAAAAAAACACAGAAAGATGCCACCAGTAACTTGCTTCAGGGAGGTGTATTTAGGGTGATGTTTGTTCTTATGTTCCCACCAACCAAAGCATCTTCCATGTATGCAAAGGAAGTTCAAAATGGCTCTTATCTTACTGAGTGCCCATGATAGATACAACTTTAAAAAATGTTTGCACAAAGCTGGATTTAGACACATGCTTTTTTGTACCTAAATCCAAAACTACTTTCCCCTTAAAATCAGATGGACCAATCTGCCTTTTTAATTGAATACTATACATAATACTATGTATGACAGTTTTCACATTCAGTTGTTTAACAGATGCTAAGAGGAGTAGAACTTGTGATTGTATGTAAACAACACAGGGCTGCATGGTGCTGCAGTGGGTAGCGCTGTTACCTTACAGTAAGAAGTTTCTTGGTTCGATTCCCGGCCCGGTGTCTTTTTGCTTGGATTTGGCATGGTCTCCCTGTGCATGCGTTAGTTCTCTCCTTTTAGTCCGGCTTCCTCCCACAGTCCAAAAACATGATTGTTAGGTGAATTGGCTTCTCTAAATTGTTCTTAGGTGTGTGTCTCTATGTTGCCCTGCGACAGACTGGCGATCTGTCAAGGGTGTACCCCTCCACTCGCCCTTATACTGCTGGAGATAGGCTCCGGCATCACCACGACTTTGACTAGGACTAAGAGGGAGAAAACGGATGGTTTGATGTAAGCAACACTTTGTATTTCCATCTGCAATTAAAATATTTTTAAGTGACCCCTCATGAAAATGACTAATACCCAGCTTTTTGGCTGGGTATTAGTCATTTTCATCACCATAGTATTTTAAGGTCTAGGTACTATTAATTATGTGTGATATCACCGTATTTTTACTGAATCAATAGTATTCTGTATTTCATTATGTATTCTTACATGAACCGAAATGTGATGCACTGTCTTTTCTAATAGCTTTCTATCAGAACCACCTTAACCGCTGCAGCATTTTGAGCTGCATTAGTCAGCATATTAGTTTGGAAGATGTAGGCCAGCCTTTGCTCCACACATCCATCAGTGACCCTTGACTGTGCGGTTTAACAATCATTCCTTCACTTTCCTTTGAAGATTTATAATAGATATAACCAAAGGAGAGAAAGAACAAAGCACAAGATCTGGAGTTTAGTGATGATTTGACCCATTTAGGACCTTATCAAACTGACTCATCCCTACAGTATATTCAGTATATAATTATTTTTCCTATATATACATACTGATATTCAGTGTTATTCATTTCATCTCTCAGTGGTGAAATTAAAGGTGTCATTTCATCTGCCATTGCTTCAAAAAGACCCTGTGTCATTTAGCATCATGCTATCAGTGTGTTTTTAGTTGACAGGCCTAGTTCTCACATACCTCTTCTCCTTTTCTGTTCGGTAAAGAGTGCGCTTACTTTACTCAGTGCTTAATCTATTTTTTCCTCCTCTCCCCTCCCCCTGAAGACACACGCTGAAGGAGTCTATGTTGACTCTTTCAGGAGCAGACACTTCTATCACCGAGCCAGCTCTGTCATCAGCAGAACACTCAGGCTACACTTCGGACCACATGCACCAGCGGCAGCAATATGTCCCACATCTTAAAAGCTAAAACTGCATCAGCTCAATGCATAACCTCGGGGGAATAGAGAGTGACACCGCCTTAGAGTGTTTAGAAGAGTCTTAGGGGCCGCTCTGAGTGCATAGAGCACTCTTCCAACCCACCATCATCACCACTCTGAATGGTGTTAACTGTAACTGTATAAGCGTGCGCTGGGACCCTTGTGGTGATGGTGGCATCTTGCTGTCACAGTGTCCTGTGTTAACTCAGCCTGCACAAGGCTAGATATGAATCATCCTTCTAAAAAAAAAAAAAAAAGCTTGTGAGCTCCAAAGAGAACCACTTTTAGGTTTTGGTGTTCTTTACATCCAGCTATGTCTACCCAGCAACAAACTACTGGTTGTTTTACAAGCTGGGTACTCAAGCACCATTTGTGCTCTCTTGTCACTCACTTCTTCAGTCTTGCAAATCTCTCAGCAAATGCATCTTTTTCTCCTCTGCTTGCAAGCTTTCATTCTATCATGCAAGTAAACCAGCTGAGACTATAAGATGCATCTTTCTTTCTTTTAATATCTTCCTCATCATTGCTTTATATCTACAGCCTAGGAGTGTTTTCTGAGTCCAGCAGCTTCCAATGCAACTCCCTGATCCCTCCCTGCAGTCTCCCATTATCCATGATCTGATACCCAGCGAGAAGCCTGAGGCAGCTTTTAGCCTACTTCTGCTACCTGTCTGAATGAAGCAGACCCACAAGGACAGAGTAAAGGGGAGAAACTGTCAGGTAGCTATTGAGCGGCAAGGGTCCAGTAAAGGTAAATAATATTTCATTGGAAAGATTTAAATTTTTATTTATCTTTGATGAAGCCCCCAAGTTACCAGCTCATTAAATTAATATTTTAAACTACCCTCTTTCACCAGAAAAGTGAGAAAGAAGATTCTTTCCTTATTATTTTTATTTTATTTTTACAAGCAGGTTTAAAGAAAATAATTTAATCTGCTGTGTACAACATAAAATATCCTAGGATATGTTTCCATTATGCAGATAGGCCAAATCCAAAGTAGCATGAAATCAGGGTCCAATTACCCTTCTATCACATTTAAGTATCCCAAACATAAAATAATACAGGTTTCTTGATGGCTAAATGTCTTCCTGTTTTTTTTTTATATTGTAAGGGGTTGCATGTTTACTACTTCCTGCTGTTACATTCCCCTCAGAGCCAAGTGAGTGGGTGAAGCTTGAGTCAATAATGACCCAGCTCAGCATTAATGATGTGACCCATACTGATTTGTTTCCAGCCAGTAACACACATAGGAAGCTCCAATATTTGACTGAATCTGGACCCTTCCAACTCAAAACGACCAATGGGAATCACTTGTTTCAAAATGAAAAGAGGAATATAAAAGATCTAAAAGATGGGATTAAGTAAATCTTGCTGGGTTCCTTTGTGAAACTTCAAACTCTGAGTACTTTGACATGTTTCATTGAAGCACAAAGACTGTAAAATGACATTTGTCTGTCACTCATCTCCTACTCAGAGGAGCATCGTTTGAATTCAGACAGCCCTCATTTCTTCCATCTCACAAATCTCCTGCTGTTCAGCTGCCATCAGAGTTCCAAAATATGCACATCCGTAACAGTATTGGGGGGTCAATGGATTGCTTATTTAAAGACGTGCTCAAAAGTAGCAATAAAGACTTGAAAGCATTTTTCTTTTACTTGCATAAACTGCCAAAAACACAGTGATTTAATTTGCAGTGCTCATTGCCAGAACAAGTCATTTGTTTATGCAAAAAAAGAATAATAATAACTCTGACACATAATAATTGGTTTACTTTTGCTGGATTAGATTAGATAAAGACTGTCCATGTGCCAAAAGGTTTCTGAAGGTGAGTTTAAGTTTCTTATTTTGCAACTTAAGCTTGAATTGAGTCTAAGAAGGTGAGTTAAGTTCTAATCTCTGCACCAGGATGATTAGAAACCCAATAGTTTGTATCAGAGTCACTTACAAAAATGAAAGGGCTGTCATTTTTTCTTTAAGAATGAGAACTAGATTTGATCAGCTAATATTCACAAATATTTAAAACAGGCTGGTCACCCCTGACTTTTAGTACAAAACAAGAGGGAAAAGAGGAATGAGCCACCACTGGGATTCTGTAATATCTACTGTTATGTTTTTTTTTGTTGTTGTTGTTTTTTTTAAGTTGGCAACACTTTGTACAAATCTTTGCAAAGTTTGAAATTTCATGACATGACTAGCAGAAACACAATAAACTTGTGCTGAAGCATATCAAACTAACACAAATACAAGCATGAACCCCAGCTGATGTATGACAGTTTTATGTCCTTTTAATGGCTAGTGAGGACCAACTTGGGATTTCAAAGTCATATTTCTTGAAGCCACAGAAAATAACCAGCTGCGGGTCCTGGGCAGCTTTATGGTCTCTTCTTCTCATGATTCATGGCAGTGACTGACTGAGTGAACCATAAATCCGACTATCTGACCCCCGTCATCGATCCATTCTGTCTGCAGAAATACTGGAAGTTGGTGGAGATAAAAGCAAATCTTAGCCAGGATTTGCGCTATGCCTTTTAAACTCGGGACTCACCCTCACAAGGTTGCTGACAGCAGCCTGCACCGCGGCCACCGGCACCGACAGGTCCGGGATGGCTTTCCCGTCCACCTCCCCCTCTTCATGCATGATGACCAGGTGGGAGATCTGCTGGGCCACCGGCTCCAGGATGCTCTCAATGGTCTTGGTATGAAACACCGGCATGGTGAACGACTTTCAGCACAGCCCCGATGGAGGAAAAAAATAAAGACGCGCCGATAGCTCCAGCGCTGATGATCCTTTCCTCCCTTTCTCCTTCTCTCCACCTGGGAGACAGACACCGAGCTGACAGCCCAGGCCTTTCAGAGGAATCCTGCCTCCTCTCTGGAGTATCTCGCTGAAAGCTGGACTCAAGCGGTCGGTGTCCTCCGGTGGGAGCGACCCAAATCGTGACAGATGGAATCACCGCCCTCCGCCCAATCAGAGCCAAGGAATACAGCTGCCAGGCGGCTCGGAGCGCACTGACGCGCACTGACGCGCACGCACTCACTCACTCCGCAAACTACAGCTCTTCCTAAATTACGTCATGCGTGCCTGTGCACCCTAAAAGGAGAGTGTTAGGGTAACTTAATGAGTCCAGATGGGAGGAGATTGTAATTCCAAGTTATGAGAGGGGATTAGGTTGCAGGTGAAACATCAGCAGCCAGGGAGGTTTTGCGCCGAGCAGCTGCTCCCTGCAGCCTTAAAAAGGTCAGCGTCATGGAGAATAGCCAAATCAGCACCTCTCCTCATAATGTAAACATAAACGGTTCCGTTTCATTCTTTTATGAAGCTTTAAACCTTCATATGACATTTGAGCTGTGTTCAGTAAAAGGTAGGTCAGGAGTTCATGTCTCCAGGCCTCAATGTCCAGATCTAAATAAAGACCAAGGATTCAGCTTGCTGCTGCCTGAAGCTGAAAGGAGTCTCAAAGATCCCCATATGGCACAAACACAAGGTTTTCAATAAGATAAAGCTTATTATCACCTGGTAAGTCCAATGTAAAAATGTGAGGGCACCGAAGAAAAACCAGGTGGAGGTAATTCAAATATACTTTTCTTGCACAGGTGTGGTCTTAAAGAGTATGGGTGTGCATGGCTGTTTGTGAAGTTGTCTCTGTTTCTGAAATCTGAGCCTGTGTTGGGGAAACTAGAGACCCCAACAGAAAAACGAGCTGTATTTGCACCCCTAAGACCTCAAGCTGACCAAAGGGCCCAGGGCCAAGTGACCCTCGTTGTGTTTACATATGCAGTATGTCCTGACGAGAAGCTGCTGTCCAAACAGGACAGGCTGGACATTCTGGTCCTGCTGCACCCTATTATCTGCCATCTCATCTCCTCTCATAAGGAAATATCCATAAAGAGGAGTAAAGAGTTTTACTCACTGCATCTCAACGCCTTATATGGATTTAGCCAGAGTAAAAGAATCAGTAATATAAACTAATGTCTGGAAGTAAATGATGAGGAGCAAGGCAAGCATTCATGGTCCCAGTAGCCCCTCTGTCAACTATCTGTATATGTGTGCTTGTCTAAACAAAGTTTGATAAAAAGCATTGCTTTTGGCCTCCTATGAAGGTTGTAGACTGTAGAGAATGCTTTCAGCAGCAACCATCTGGAATGTGGTTGCTTATACAACAAAATGTACTTGGATGCTTTAAACCTAATTAATAAATTGTTTTCAGGATTGCAAAAGCTATGCAGCCCTCCTGTGAAATGTTTCCTTTAAAGAGTCTGGTGTGGGTTTGGAAGGTACGGGATCTTAGAGAGCGGTGAGTCATAGGCTGTCTGACAAGATATGATATGTTCTCTTGCTCTGTGCTGATCTGCTTTCTCTTTCCCCACCAAAAATAAAGTTGTAAAAATCCTCCTTTTTTTTCCCCTTTTTAAAAAAAAACAAACATCTGTGCATATATAAATATGCATTTACACATACAGTAAACAGCCATACTAAATCAATTAGAATGCATTATAATGATCCTATTTTTCAAATTCCTAAAAAAATCCTTTTTAAGCAGGTATTAAAGAATCTTTATTGAGCACACATTTATTTATTAAAGAGTAATTACATTTGTGATGTGATATAATAATTACAAAATTCTTGTTAACCTGTAAGTGGAAAATCATCATAATTTAAAGAAAAAAGGATTGAAACATGATAATATAGAGAGTGTTATATTTTTTTTCACTCAGTGAACTGAGTTACTTAAATAAATTAACCTTTTATTAATATTGTGATTTTATTAATATATTTTCTAGCCCAGCCCAAACCCTCAGAGACCTCTTAGGTCTTAAAGGAGGGGTCTTCTGTTGGTACTTAGAGTGAAGACTTAAACACATTAAGCATTTTTCTCCTATTATGGCTCTCAGCTGTGGAACAGGAAAGTCTGGATGCTTTAAAAAAAAAAGCAAAATTTGAATCTGTTTGGTCTGACTTTTTATTTAGGTTTTTAAGCTGTTGTTTTGTCATTTTGGGTTAAAAACAACTTAAAAAGACTTCATGTCAAATGGTCACTGTTGAGCTTCTGTCATTATTTTCAAGGCCATTGTTTTCTATACCTTTTCTATTTTAATTTCTTTATCAAAGACTGCATTCAGTGCATTCCACATTTCCTCATCTGGGACCTAAACCCACTTCCAATTATGGTGGAGATTTGAAATCAGTGGAAAAACAAGCTGTTTTGATCACAGTAAAAACACTAAGTAAACAAAGTAAACTACTTGACATCCGAAGATCAGTTTACTCAACATGTTGCTCCTTTACTTGCAGAGAAGTTGATGATCCCTTCCTTTTCAGAATAAAATATTATAATTACCATATCATATTATCAAAT